CCTCTGGCTCTTGTACTCCTCTGGCGGCGGGGGTGGGGGTGGAGGTGGCATCCTCTGGTGAGGGCGTGGACTGCTAATAACAGACCCCTGGAAGGGGGGAGGGGGGAAGTCAGGCCAGTCTAGACACCTTAAACCCCCAACCCTAAACTCCATCCCTGACCCTGAGGGCTGGAGCTGGGGAGACAGGGACCCCCAAACGATAATGAAAAGCAAACAGCAGTCCTGTGCTTGTACATGAAGCTCCCCAGTTGGCAAAGCTCTGCCGTCACATCCACTATCTCAGCTGAGCCCCAGTGGGCAAAGGCAGAATTAGTAGGACCTCTTCCTCAGGCCCCTTTGCAGGCCAGGAAGACGTTAGGCCCAGAGAGGCAGAGCAACTCGCTCAGGATCAAAGAGCAGGACTTGGAGGTGAGAGCTTCTTGTGGCCCAAGTCCAAGGGCATCCCTACTCGGAGTTGGCCCTGGGGTTGAGAGGGGGCACGGGAAAGTGGAAGACAGACTGAGAGACAGGCAGAGTGAGGACAGACAGAGCTGAGGACAGATGGAGAGAGTGGTTGGCTGGGAGAGGCAGCCACACGGTTCCTAGCAGGGAAGACAGGGAAGCAACAGGTCCCCTCCTCCTCTGGGGCTCCATGGCCATGGCTGGGGCAGGGCTCATGCAGAGGACAAGTGGGGCAGGAGCTGGCACTTACTTCGATGGTGCTGTCCAGCGATCCCACGCTGTTACGCCGCCCCCGCTTCCCTGCACCCACAAGCAAGGAGCCCAGCGTCAGAGCAGCAACGCCCCCTCCCCACCCTGCTGGGCTCCAGAGCTGGGCACCAGGCCTGGGCCCCTCCCAGGGACAGACACCCTGTTATCCCTTTCCCCCGTTGAAGAGGGGGAGGTGGGGTGGAGGAGAGGTGGAAAAGGAAGAGAGAGGAGGGAAAGATGGAGAAGGAGGAGAGGCAGTACAGGAAAGACAGAAGAGGGAAAAGAGGAGGAGAGGTGGAGCAGTGAGAGAGGGGCTGAGACCGTGGCCCCCACTTTCCATTCCCTGGCCCATATCCTGGGCTCCACTTGTTCTGACCTGGCTACCAGGCCCCCTGCAGCACAGTACCCAGGGCTCTTGGTGAAGGCAGGGTGCATGTGTGTAGCAGGTGAAGGGAAGGCTGGTGGCCAGTGACAAGAGGCCAAGATGACATCCGGTCCCACGTCTCCCCAGCCAGGGTCGGGGCCCAAAAGACTTACCTGCATCAGAGAGGTCACGAAGGGAACTGCTGAGTGCGCCCCGTTTGAGCCCATCGCCTGCCCCGTAAGTGTCCTCCAGGCTACTGCGGGCCAGTGTCCCATTCACCGAGTCCTTCGCTCCTCCAGGCTGTGAGGTGTTAGGCCGCATCATACCCTTCTGCTTCTCCAGCTCCGCTGGGTGGCAGTGGGGGAGATGGAGCAAAGGTGAGGAACAGGAGTGAGACCCAGACCTCTACAGGCCCTTTATTTTCCCTCCCCGTAACCTGCAGGTCTCCCGTTTTGCCCCATGGATGGCCAGCACACGTTCCCCTGAGATGCAGCTCCATCTCTGAAGCTCCCTCAGTTCGCAGTCCCTGTCTCACACCACCTCCTCCTGCCCCTTCTTCCCTTCCTCCTTCTCAACTTCCCCCACCCTCCTCTGCCCAAAATACCCTTGAGCTTCAAAATAGAGTGTCACGGCAGATGGCTCACAGTCAGGACAGGGAGGCCCTTCTAGCCTACAGTGAAAGGCAATCTTTCCAGAGTTTGCTCTGTTCTTAAGTACCTTGCTCCAGAGCAACAGGGTTCCTGGAAGGGCAGCCCAGAAAACGGACAAGAATTGAATCCTCTATTACGCGTCAGTCAGTGTGCCGGTCACTACACATACATGACCCTTCTCAGTCCACATGACTAACATCATTCACATTGTGCAGAGGAAGAAACTGACAACTTGAGAACTCACAGAGCTTGCCCAACATCATACAGCTAGAAATGATGGAGCTGACATTCTAGAAGTACATCTGCCTGATTCCAGGGTTCTGGCTCCTCCAGCCTCCTTTTATTTCCACCTTTCCACAGAGCTCATGGAACTTCTCGTCTGTTTGCTTGTCTAATTGTCTTGGTGTGCTAACTTCCTGCTCTATGTTTCCCCAGGGTCCCCAAGAATATGGCGAAGTGAAACTTCTGACCCTGCCTTGTTGAGGAGTGGAGTCGACCTCAGGACTGTAAAGGAGCTGTCTACTGCCTGTCTCTGACTCTCTCTGTCTCTGTCTCTGTCTCTGTCTCTCTCCTCCCTCTCCCCCTCCCTTTCCTCCTCCTCCTCCTTCTCCTTGCCCCTTTCTCTTTAACACCATGTTACCTAACTGTAACTGCTTAGCATGGGGAAGAGAAAACTTGGAGGGTATCAGGAAGAGTGAGATGTAATCACTACTGTCCACTACGTAAAATCAAAATGACTTGGTGTATCCCTGGGGGCTGGGAGGCTAGACTGCTGGGGCTCAACCTGGGAACTGACGTGTGGGGAGAGAAGGGGAGACAGCAGGACAGGGAATGATATCTGCTGAACATCTAGGCTGTAGTAGAGCTCTTCGGCTACCCTGTTTAATTTCCAAACTCTCTGAACGAGATTTCATTATTCCAAATGCATATAGGAAGATACGGAGGCTTAGGCAACTCTACGTAGTTTATCCACATAACCAGTAGCATATCTGGGATCTGAAACTCCACTCCTACCTTTTATACCCTGATTCTTTTTCCTTCTGCTTTTCAATAGAAGGAAAAGTCAGCTCACAATAGAAAGATAACCATGGGAGCCATGGCACCGACTCTTAGGGCTTGGATAATAATCTGAGATTGAGAGATAATGAGCCTCTTGTCACTGAAGGTATTCAAGCAGAGACTAAAGGGTTCCTGGAATGAGGGTAGGAGGGTTGGACAAGCTACCTCTCAACCCTGAGATTTTCGAAAGTCAGGATTCTGGGTGTCTGCAGGGCACTGCAGCAGGAGCGGGGTGGAGATATGGCTGAGCTACTCACACTCCACACGGTACTTCTCCATCTCTTGCACCTCAGCAATGGACTCACGAAGGTCAGATGTGAAGCGTAGCCGGTCCTGGAGGCTGGGGGCATTGAAGATGATGAGGACTTTTCGCTCCCCACCAGGTACTGCAGACAGCAACTTGATCCCAAACTGGTAATCTATGGGCAAAGGGAGGGCATGGGAGAGATTGGGTGCCTCTGTCAGGATTAAAGCAAGGTGGCTAGATTGGGAAATTGTTTCTCAGTTTTTTGTGGGTTTGGTTGTTCTGTTTCTTGTGAGATCATCTTTTTATGTTACCCAGGCTGGTCTACCCAGGCCCAAGTGATCCTCCTGCCTCAGCCTTCTAAGTGCTGGGACTGGGCGCAGTTTGGAAATGATTTCTCTATGTCAAACTCTGACATGCCTCTTCTCTGCTCAAGCATCTTCAGCAGCTCCCCAATGCCCTCAAACTCCTGGTAGTTGTGGTCCTCTACCTCTTTATATTCCAAGATATAAAGACAAATGGAATTCTGCATTGTTTTCTGGAAATTGTTTCCTTTGTGCCTCTACTCACAATGATTCTGCTGTCCCAAATGCCACTCCACCATGCTCCTCCTGGTTCAGTCCTTCGGAGGACAGCATGATCACCAACTCTTCAGCCCACCAGTTCACACACTGTGGTTCCCTACTCCAAGGGCCGGACCTGAGTCACACTACACTCTTGCCTGCTCACCATCTAGGACCAAGTAGGTACTTTGGAGACCTTAGCCCAGTTGTAAAGGATCCCAAACCTGGAGGTTGGTACGGATGAAGGATGAGCATGGGGGCCATGGCATGGACTCTTGAAATGGTGGGGTCCAAGAAGGGACTCACATGAATTCTGGAAGAGCTGCATGTGCATTTCCACCAGGGGAAAGGACTGACGGAAGCTGTACGTCACCAAGATCTTCTTCTTCTGGAAAATTTTGGTGACCTTCGGCAGGGGTGGAAAAAAGACAAGAGGCAGGGTTTGGGGTAGGGAATTTCCATGTGGCACCTCTATCGGATAACCATCCTATCCTCCTACCCCTACTAACAGACATACACACAAACATACATTCCCACAAGTAGGAGAGAATTGAAGCTTGAGGAACCGAAAGGATATTATGTGAGAAAATGCAAGTTCTTGATGTGACGATACACAACAAACATTTGCAATTTTTAAAGGAACTAACTGAAGGCTGCTCCCTCCAGGAAGCCTATTCTAACACCTCACACACAGATTTTTGTTTTGCTTTGCCTTTTTGTGATACTGGGGATTGATCTCAAGAGCCTTTGCCCTGAGCTACATCCCCCACCCTCTCACTCAGTTGTCCAGGCTGGCCTCAAACTTTCAATCTTCCTGCCTCAGCTTCCAGAGTAGCTGGAATTACACGTATACACCAGTACGCCTGGCTCACACAAATTTTTTTTACTTTTTTCTGAGCTGCCACGGTGCTGGGTCATGACCTTATCCTCCTCAGGCTTTAATGGTAGTCCTCTAGTGCGTGAGCGCCCCCTGCTGAACTGGAGGGCATGAGTCTGGTTTTCAGGGTCTTTTGCCCAGCCAGCCTCCACCCTCCAGAGCCTGCATACAATGGGAATCTCTGCCCTGCCTACAAGAAGGGTTTACAAGTCTTTCTCTTAAGACTCAAGATCTTTATTGAGTATTTGGCACTCCGGACTCTCCCTTAACATAGGTTCAGACAGTGTTTAGGGATGGAACCAAGGGCATCGTGCACGTTAAGCAAGTGCTCTACCACTGAGCTACACTCTCACCGCCTGTAAGTGTTTCTTAAAAGCAACTTTTTCACCTGGTGTGGTGGCACACACCTGTAATCTCAGCCACTGGGGAAGCTGAGGCAGGAGGATTCCAAGTTGCAAATTTGAGACCAGCCTAGGCAACTTAGTGAGACCCTGTCTCAAAATAAAATCTTAAAAAGGGCTGGACATGTAGCTCAGCAGTAAAACACGTTCAACCCCCAGTCAGTCCCCGCTTCCTCCCTCCTTCTCTGACAAGAAAAACAACAACAACTATTTTGATTTCAGTGTGGTTATAGGGCAGAGATACAAAGCATTTCTTTTGGTTCTTTGCACTGTGAGCTCCCTTGGAACAGGAATTGAGTCGGATTCATCTTCAGGTACCTAGCAGCTAGCATGGACCGGGACACACACACAGGTGTCACTACATGAGGGGTGTCTAACATTGACTCAACACCTGTGTGGGGCAGGCATGCCTCCAGGTAAGGCTATTCCACATATGACCTCTTATTTCATTCTCATGGCAACCCTAGGAGATATGAGTTAGCCCCATTTCACAGAGAGTATTAGAGGTGCTTTGTCTAAACCAATCATTCTCAACTGGGGGCAATTTTCCTCCCAGACGGACACTGAGTATTGTCTGGAAAAGATCATAAGATCATTCTCATTCATATATATTCTCATTCTCTCTCTCTCTCTCTCTCTCT